GGGGATGGGGATGGGGATGGGGACAGAGACGTGAATGGGGATGGGAATGGGGACAGTGCCAACTTTCCCCGCAGCGTTCTGGGACACAGATGAGCTTTGTGTTTCACATCCCACACCGTGCCAGGCTCCTGCTCCCCAGGCTCCCTTCCCAGATTGTTGTGTCTGGATGGTGATGGCCTCAGTCCCCTGTCCCTCCCTGAGAGCCACCCCCACCCTCTCTGTGTCCCACCAGGGTGCCAGGGGAGGGGGTGGCACACCCATCCCTGCCTGCAGCGCCCATCCCTGATGGATCAGAGCAGATGGAAGGAGCCGGCTGGGCAGCAGGCGGATGGGAACAGGCATCGTTTTTAGTAAAAACTCTGGTTTTCCTCCCACTTGTGCCCGGCTGGGCTCAGAATCCCTGCGGGCTTGAGCCGGGCCCTTCCCAGGGCGCTTCTCCCGCGTTTCCCTTGGCGACGGGAATCACAAACCGGGCGTGGGGGGAGCTCAGGCTCGGGGCTGTGCTGGGGGACAGCCCTGCAGGTACAGCTCCCGGCTTTCCCTTTCCCACAGTGTCCCCTGCTGCTTGCGCTCAAAAATCCACCGCGGAACCGGCGGGGAAAAGCAGGAAAAGGGGAAAAGCAGGAAAAGGGGAAAAGCAGGAAAAGGGGAAAGCTCAGCAAAGCCTGAGGTGCAAAAAGTCGCCGTGGGGAAATGCTTTTATGGAGCCTTAACAAGAGCAAAGAGCAGGATTCCCAGGATTTCACTCCTGGAGGGAGGGACATCAAATAATCAGGGAATAGCTCARGTTGGAAGGGATCCATAAGGATCGTCTAATCCTAAATTCAGAGTCAAACTTTGCCACTGCAGCCTGGGCTGGGGGTCCCAGAGCTGCTCCAGAAGTGGCTGCATGAGGAAGGAATTTAAAGAGGATGGAGAAGCTGACAGGAACTGGGAATAGAGGAGCTGCTTTCTTCTGTTTTCCCTTGGATAACACGAGGGAGCCAGCCCAAACTCTTTTCCCAGGGGAAAACCATCTGGATTAAAAGGATGGATGGATTGTCCATAGAAAATGTGCTGGTTTGGTTCCCCCTGGGGAGTTTGCTGCTAAAATAAATTATTTATTTAAATATTTGGAAGGGGCAGAATTGGCAGGAGCATTCCAGCAACGGTAGGGATGAGACAGGGAAGCTCCCCCTGCTCCCCACAGGTGCCAGAGTCTCCATCTGCTCCTCAAGGATCCCATGGGATGGTGACTGGGGCATTGGGAAATTCATCCAATTGTGGAAATATCTCCCCAAGGATGGAAATCTTCAATCCCAAAAACACTCAGCACTTCCTAACATGTCCATTTCTTCTTCCTTCCCTAAGACCTACGAGCAGAACGAATGGATCATCCACCTGGCAGGAAAGCTGCTGGCCCAGGAAGAGGAGACCTTGTCCCTGCTGGCCACCAACCCCTTTGCAGGCAGAGAACCCCCGAGGTGAGCCTGGAGTGACCCCGAGGAAGCCGGGAGCTCCACGCTCTTCCTGTCTGGGATGTGCTCAGGAGGTTCCCGTTGGTGTTTGGGATTTGTGCTGAGTGTATTTGAGCAAGGTGGGTTTGATTGAGCCCAAAGTGTTGCCAGCACCTTGATTGGAGGGGACACAGGGACCCTGGGGATGAGCCCATTCCCAGGAAGATCTGTGAAGGGCTGGGCATTGCTGCTCTTGGCCAGGAATGGTCCTTTCTGCAGGGCTCTGCTGCCCCTCAGCTTTGGGGTTTTTGCCACAATCTCCTTGTGAGCYCAGGGCAAACCCCACCACTTCYAKGGACCTCCTGARGTGCTCCAAACACTGAAGAGCCCTGCAGGAATTGTTGGGTTTGTGGCCACTTGGAATTGTTTGTGTTTTCAGGGAAGAGACAAAGCCAACATCAGCCAGGGAGAGGCACAGAGGAAAAGTCCGAGGTTTCACACAAAAGGAATTTTGTCACAAAAGTGCCTGTTTTGTTGATGGAGTTATTTTTAGCTGAGAAAACATTTTTGGGGCATTTTGGATCAACTCAAGCAATGTTATGCTCTTGCTAATGTTTTCCATCCGAGGCTCTCAGGATGCAGAGCAAACAGGGATGCAGGTCCAAGGCTCCGTGGGGAATTAAATTCTGATATTCTGAAGCTTTAGGGCACAGCATCCCCCAAACCTTCTGAGGAGAGGCTCCTTCTCCAGCTGAGCATGGAAAACTTCCCACTTTTACAAAAATGTTTCCTCTGAGGTGCTTTAAAAATCCCAAGATGGTAAAAATCTCAGAATCCTGGAATGGTTTGGGTGGGAAGGGACCTGAAAGGTTTTTTAGTTCCCATCCCCTGCCATGGCAGAGACACCTTCCACCATCCCAGGCTGCTCCAAGCCCCATCCAGTCTGGCCTTGGACATTCCCAGGGATCCAGGGGCAGCCACAGCTTCTCTGGGTATCCTGTGCCAAGGCCTCCCCACCCTCACAGGGAGGAATTCTGTCCCAAARTCCCATAACCCTGCCCTCTGTGGTCTGGTGGAAGTGCCCCTGCCCTTGGATGATTTTTAACATCTCTTCCAACCCAAAACATCCTGGATTCTGTGACCCTTGATTCTGTGATTCTTTGATCCTGTCATTCTGTGAATCTTGATCCTGTGATCCTCTGACTCTGTGATCCTGGATTCTGTGATCCTGAATTCTGTGATCCCGTGGTTTTGTGCTCCTGGATCCTGTGATCCTGGATCCTGTGATCCTATGACTCTATGATCCTGTGATCCTATGATTTTGTGCTCCTGGCTCCTGTGATCCTATGATTTTGTGCTCCTGGATCCTGTGCTCCTGGACTTTTATCCAGGTCAAGAGCAAAGGTCGCTGCCACCCTTCGGGATCCCCTCATTCCCACCTCAGCCCTGCTCCCTGCAGTAGCTGGGTGGAAAAAACTCCTCATTTTCCTACCACTATTCCCCCCTCCCTCCACTCCAAAGGGAATTTCGAGACTTAATTATTTTCATTCCCTKCTAGACTAAATAATTAGGGGAAGGGACTGTTTTCCATAAGAACCTCGCGCTCCGTCCTCCACGGAGTTTGCTCCGTTAATGGAAACTCTACACCTTAAATAGCCAAGGGACTTTCAAAATGAGTTAATGCCTTCGAAATGAAATTTCGGAGACCAAAGTTTGGAGGGCTCTTTACAACTCYAGAAATTACAGTATTTTTTCGAGTGTGATAAACTTCAAATGAGAAACAGGTGCCTGATTAAAAACGAGGGCATTGTTGAGGGCCAGCCTGGCTGAGAGGGAAGCTTGGACTTCAAGGCTGGGGATGTTTGGGGAATGGGGATTTCCCAGATATTGTGGGGTGGTAGATAACTCAGAAAAAGCCCAGCCCTCATAAATCTGAACGGGAGGGCTCGGGCTGAGAAATTAAGAAGTGTTGAGCACACAGTCAAAAAGGCTGCAACAATCAAAGCAAACAAAAATCAGATTTTGCCCCCAGGAGAGGAAAAAAAACCCAGGATTTTAAGTCTGACCTGAAGTGTTCGATGTCTCTGRTATTAAATCATGGCCACTTTAGGATTTTGGTCCCACCTAGAGGAGCACTTTGTTGGAGAAGCTCCTCCTGTGCCACTTCCCAAGGGAATTTTGAGGATCAGCTGCCTGTGGGATGCTCTGGCTCTGCAGGACCACACCTTGCAGGAGCCTCAGAGTCAGCAGCACCAAAAAACAACCCCAAAACTGCGCCGATTCCCCAAATTTGGGTCAAGATGAGTTGATATGCTCCTTCCCACCACCAGGGCAGGAACAGTGATGCTGGAGGCTGTGTTATCCTGGTGAATTTGGGTTTCCCACCACCACTTGCTCACTGATTTACAGCAGGGCAGGGAGCCCTGAGATAAAAGAAAATTACCCCAAAAGAAAACACAAAAAAAACCCCCAAAAAAAACAAAACAACAAAAAAAAAAAAAAAACCAACAAAAAAAAACCAAAACAAAACAACCCATCAACCCAAAAAGACACCCCATGTTTTGCTTGCTTTCTTTCTTCCCCCTCCCACCCCTCCTCACCCTGTCAGGCCATTAATTCTACCAGAAACCACCGCTGGTTTTTCCCCTGGACCCCCTCAGCTGTTGCAGGGAGACAGCTGCACCCTCTGGAACGAATTCCAGCTGTCTGGGAGTCGGAGGCCTCCGTCCCAACAACCCCAACAAAAATCGCTGCTGATTTTTAGCGCATCCAGTCGGGGCTGTCACGAGGGGCTGACACGCCAAAGCGCTGCAGAGCAGCTGCTCCAGGGCATCTGCTGAGGGGGAAGATGGATTTTCAAATAATTCTGGTTCTTTTTAGTCCTTCTGGCCTCTCCTTGAGGCCAGGACCATGTTCATCCAGTGGGGATGCCCATGAGGTGGGTGCTTTGGGGTGGCTTGGTCCCCGCTCTGCCACTGCCACCAGTGCTCTGCTGGCTCCACTGATGGATTAGAAGATGCCCAAAGGGTCCTTTTGTCCCCTTTTCCCRTTGTTGGCACAGCTGAGAGGGTTCTCCATCTCCTCGAAGAGTTCTTGGAATGCCATCCAGTCCCAGCCTTCCCTTGGGGCAGGAACATCTTCCCCTGGACCCCGTCCAGCCTGGCTTTGGACACTCCCCGGGATCCGGGGGCAGCCACAGCTTCTCTGGAAAACCTGGTGGGTGTGGTGAACACAGAACTCCAGGGTCACTGAGGCTGGAAAAGCCTTCCAAGTCCATCCAGCTCAAGCTGTGCCCACCTTGTCCCCAGCCCAGATCACTGAGTGTCACCTCCAGGGGTTGCTTGGACACCTCCAGGGCTGGGCACTCCACACCTCCGTGGGCATTCTGTGTTGCCATAGTTTTGTAGGAGAATCCTTCCTGCCGTGCTCTCCTGAGCACCAGCAGGGCTGAAAGGAGCTGCTGGGCTGTGCTTTCACGGGGTGCAGCTCCCTCCATGCCCTGCACCCTGCCCCGCTCCCGAGCCTGGCACTGACGGCAAATCCATCAGAGCCGTCCGTCGTTATTTTAGGGATGTAGGAATGCCCTTCCTGGCCACTCTGAGATCCCAGAGCCGCGGTGCCCCACTCAGGAGCAGGGTTTGGGTTTTCCTGGCGGAGCAGGGCAGGTTTAAATGAGCACTGACACGCCTTTGACAGGTTTATTTGGCGGGTGTTTTATGGGGTCGCCCGGCGATGCTCCCGGCCCTTGTCAGCATGTCCCACATCAAGGGGACCGAACCCCCCGGATCYGGCGGCACGGGCAGCTCCCGGAGTGTTTCCCGACACTGATGAATGTTTCTTTCTGCACTGCTTTCAAACCTCCTTTGCTGTCAGCTCCCGGAGCAGCCGGAAAACAGATGCGCTTGGAGCCGCGCTAACGGAGCAGCCGCTGGCTGGGGGAGTCAAACTCCCTGCTCCAAAATATCCCAGGCAGGAATACTCCAGAACTGCTCTCAGGAAGGCAAAAATCTGATTATTCCTGCTTTTGTTATTACTCTTTCCTAMTAAATACTGAAAGGTGTGGGGAGGGCTTAGGGTGACGGGTGTTGGAGCTGATGTTGGGCATCATTCCCGAGGCACATCGGGATTCCAGCATTCCTGAAGGGCATCAGGAGGAGCCTGGGAGCTTCCCAGGGGCTGCGGGCATCCCAGGGATAGAGGGATGGGGGGATGGATGGATGGATGGATGGATGGATGGATGGATGGATGGATGGATGGATGGATCAGGGATGGATGGATGGATGGATGGATGGATGGATGGATGGATGGATGGATGGATGGATGG